ACCTTGCTTTTCTTTTATTTTTTATCAAATCCGGTTTTCCAAAAACCACTCCACGTTTATTTAACCACCTTTCACTAGTGACTTCGCTCTGCTTTCAATAACTAGCCAGCTTCCGTAAACAGTGATATTTCCCAGCTGTGGGTGCCTCCAGCAGAGATCTCCAGGTGCATAGCGACCTTGTGCATAATTTTTTCTCAGCTCGTTTACCACGAGCTCTGCTTTGGGGGCTTTCACTGCCGATTCTCGCGTTTTCTCATCAATTCCCATCGCACGTCAACTTGGATCACTAACTACTAAAGGCGGTCACTCCCCTCTATGCCTTTGTTTTCAAAGTTTTGGGAAACAAATTATTCCAGTGAATAACTTTGGTTAAAGTGCAATTCCCCTCAAATATTAATAGAGTTGTATCTGAACGTCGGCATAGCCCCTTGCCATCCGAAGGCTCTCAGTCTGCAAGGGCTGGGACAAGGTTACGTCGTAGTTAGTCTCTCCAAGAAATTAGACGTTCAGCCTGAACGAGCACACCGGTAGAAACCCTTCCTTATCACTCGTCAGGTGTGAGATTGCCAACTTTAATATTCCGCCATTTTTGTTCCAAGATCTGCCTACATCATGAACGGAAAAGGAAGTGTTACCCCTATTTGTATAGAATGACATATATTCCAGGGATGTACCCGTTCGAGGAGCTAACTGGGTTTGAAGTGCCACCCATCATGGACCTGTTTTGAAACCGTACAAAGGCTGATTTTGCCAAACATCTGTGAGGCTAGTGCCATGCTCGTTGCTCTTTATTGGGCGAGCAAATCTAGGGGGTTCCGTGAAGCCCCCCGCCATTGCCAATAACCAAATTTTCGTCACGAGAAGAGCCAACCACAGCCACTACTCGCCGATTCCCAACTTTACATGCACGATTCACCAAGAACAGGACCGACCAGTTTGCCGGCGATTTTATTTTTCATTTCAATTTAAAGATATTTATTTCGGTTTACCAGCAACAATTGGCGGGCCGTAGGGGCCCCTGGTGAGGAACACACGATCCTGGAACGGGGCATGGCCAGCCACGGCGATCCCCGTCCACGTGGCCATGAACGCTTGGAAGTCCACGCTGGCGCTTTGGTTCTCGTGAAGATCACCCATGATGTTGCGCACTTCATGAGGGTCACTTGTGAAGCCTTCCCCGAGGTCAGACTCCGCGAACCCCACGCCAATTCACGCGCCCGATCCGCATTGACCAACGTACATCTACTTAGGCGTCATCATCACTCATCACCAACATAGTGAACAACATCATCAGCACAGCGCAATGAAAAGGCCGCGCGCATTACAGACGCTGCTCGCACGACCTCGTGTTTCCTGGAGCATTTTTCATCACCAATTTCGGTTTTAGAAAAGTCACTCGAACTTCACATGCATGAGTCACGAAGACCAGGATCATTTTGAGTGATTGTGTCATTCATCTCGTTTTACAATTTACAGGAATTATTTCTATTTATCAGCAGAAATCACCCCACGACCCACTCCCGAAATACCGTGAAAAGGTTATCGATCGAAGTCTCACTTTTAGGCAACACGTTGAGCAGTTGAGTAACAAGATGAAAATCCACACGAACATCATCCATAAACTGACGGATGCATAAATGGCACATTAAAGCTTCGACGGCCTGCGAGTGCGGCCACGAATCACAAACCATCGCCCACATCGTAAACACTCCGCTGCAGCTGCTGTCTTCGCTCTTTTAAAGGTGGAACAAGACGAGATCCACTCTGCTTCTGAACAGACGATTAAGTGGATAACCAATCTAAAATTACATTTTAATCTGCTGCGCTTAATCCATATGAAAGAAGAGTTCGCATATCTGACCCCTACTTCGCATGTCCGACCCCAGTTCGCATATCTGACCCCTCGTTCGTATATCAGACACTGGGCCGCATATCAGACCCCTAGTTCGCATATCCGACTACCAATTCGCATATCCAACTCCTAGTTCGCATATTCGACCCCCAGTTCGCATATCCAACCCTAAGTTCACATATCAGACTGCCAATTGCTATATCTGACCCTCAGTTCGCATATCCGACCCCCAGTTCGCATATCAGACCCCCATTTCGCATATTCCCCAAATATATGTTGTTCTGCCCCATGGCAGATCTGGGGGTGTGTTTACACAGGAAGTTCCTGATATGATGGTGTTGAGTTTGGTCACGTGACCAGGAAGTTACGAGTTCAGGGTCTCGAAGCTACGAGGCCAGGCAGGGGTGTCAGCCATTACACAGAGTACAAAATGGAGGCACAATTCGCGTCTCAGTGAAGACGGGTGCATGTTTATTGTGGGACTTTAAGAAGCATTGTCTTTAAGTTCGTTTATGTTCCTATAATACTGGGAATGCTATTATAATGTTAAGATTGCCGTTATAATGCTGAAAATGCCTTTATAATGCTGTTAAATTGTTATGATAAATATGAGGCCTAGTTAACAACGAAGCCTGCCACTTGCATTATTGTGAATGTTATTTGTAGTTGGATAAGCCAAGCCAGACTTGTGCCCATGTAACTTTAATGCGTTCTTGAGAGCAAGGATGAAGAAGTATCTCATCCACAGTTCAGTGTTATGTGCAGCGCTGTACATTTAGGCTGCTGTATGGTGATTACACAAAGTGACCTTATTTAACACAGTCGCTTAACAGGACCCTGCGGGGTGGGCTGGTAGGAACGAATAACCAAAGAATATAAACATAATGTATTATTACACTTGTTTAGCCAGGAAAGCCCCACTGAGTCTAAAGGGTTTTGTAGGGTCCTGCCAAGTGCTTGCAGTAGGGGGCGATGTTGCTACACCTAATCGGACGATACGAAGGGAGAGTTTGAGGCCTAGTTCTAGGCTTTAGGCCTAGCTGTAGGCTTTAGGCCGCCGTGAGTTAATTTTTTATTAAAATGTTTTTATTTATGTAAAAGCTTTAAATTTAAATTTTCTATTTAGAAGCATCAGGGAATGTAACATTGTTAAACATTAACTCCCTTGCACACACGCGGGGGTACGATACGAAGGGAGAGTTTGAGGCGTAGTTCGAGGCTTTAGGCCTAGCTGTAGGCTTTAGGCCGCTGTGAGTTAAATTTTAATTTAAAAGTTTTAATTAAAAGCTATCTCAGGGAATTATAAGGGAATGTTACACTTGTTTAGCCAGGAAAGCCTCATTAATTTAAATGTTTTAATTAAAAGCTATCTGAGGGAATTATAAGGGAATGTTACACTTGTTTAGCCAGGAAAGCGTCACTGAGTCTAAAGGTTTTTGTAGGGTCATGCCAAGTGTTTGCAGTAGGGGGCGATGTTGCTACACGGACGGACGGACGATATAATCTATTGTAGGCTGGTTCACTTCGTTCCTACCAGTATTATCTTGTTGTATAGCTATTCAGTGCTAACGTACGTGCCTGGTCCATCCAGGACTTATTATTGACATTCATGTTATCTAAGACAATGTTATGATGCTGCAGTGTTCATTCATTGTATTTATATTGCAAGTATTAACAGATGCTGTATTTGTGCCGTGTTTTTCAATTCTATTAATTAAATACGTTGGAGTCGGATGTTCACCCTGGCTCTGAAGGTTCATTGAATGCGTGCAACGCAACGCACAGCGAGGCTGAGACATATGTGGTTAATGCAAATATAATTCCTTGCAAAAGGTTTCAGTTTGGTGTTTTAACATCTCGACGCATGTTTCATTACCAGAAATGTTAAAATATATCCTTATATCCTCTATGATATCGACTCAGTTTCATTTTTCAGTTTCATTTATTAGGTATAACCCTGTGAGCCATGTGGCTCTTGACTCGGGTGCAACCGCAACAAACATATCGATCAACTCGTCTCCTCCAGACGCGTTTCGAGGTAAATAGCTCATCGGGAATCTACTGACATCAACATGGAGCATCTCTGCGTTGTAACGTCAATGCGAAGGTTGATTGGATAGAGAATCGATTCCACGACTGTTAAATGTGGTGACGTCATCACAGGTGTGAGAGAATCTATTCCGGTTTAATAGCCCGGTCGTTATAGATTCCTCTTGGCGTGATCCATACCGGCAATGTTAATTTACTATTCAATTACGCGTGCACAGCAGTCAAAGAGAATCGATTCCCTTCATTGGTTAAATATGTACATCGCGTCATCACAGGTGTGGGGGGTCGATTCCGGTTTTTAGCGCGGTCGTCATCGATGCCTCTTCGTGAGATCGATACCAGCAATGTTAATATTCGATTAAATTACGCGTGAGCAGGAATAGCCGAGAATCGATTCCACACACACACACAGCTGTGATGAACACCGCTGCGTGGTGACGTCACCACGGTCAGGTTGACTGACATGTAAGCAATGTTTACCTCATGATATACAAAACCTATAGACATCATCTAAAGGTCCTTCGAATCCGCTTCGAGATGCGAGTTCAAGACCATGAATACATTAACGCTGCGATTTGTAGTTGCAGAGAAACACCTGATATATGTATTGTCCCAGTCATCCCTATGGGGGGAAAAACAACTGATGGGTCTTCACTCAGGCATTTCTTGCCGGATTTTGACCACGTCTATGGGAGCCTTTAACATTGAAGTCTATGGGACCCCTTTGGACCCCCACCCCTTCCCAGAACCACCACGAACCCACCCCGGATGCCTCTTGACCTACACCAACACCCCCTCCAAGACCCTCCCAAGAAACCGACGGACCCACCGTGAACCACATCAGATCTCCCCGGACCTCCCCCAGACCACAACCCGGACCCACCCCGGACCCCCCCACCATCAGACCCAGACCACAGATCCCTAGACCCGGATCCACCCCGCACTCCAGGTCACTGGATTCGTCGTGCATTATGCTAACCACATCAGCGCCACCGCTCTCCACTCACGCATGCACACACATATAGAGACAGTTTTTTTACGTATTTTTTTTTTATTCAAAAGCTAAACAATACTTAAGCTAAACCCAACCCAACCCCACACCCCAACCCTCAGCCTGGGAGGTAAACATGGAAACCAGTAAACGCAGTAGTAACATGAAATGGGTGGTAACACAGAGCTGGTCACCCGCTATAGGCGATGACCTGGGACTTGAGATCCTTTTAGGGGGTCGATTCATGACAAGAGTGCTGGCTTGTCTGCCAAGCGGTATTAGCTGGGTATACACCCATGTTAATGACACATGAGACCTACTCACAAAACCAAGAAGAGAAACAAGTCTACGTGACCAAACACAGCTTTATAAATCTACGGGTTTTAGTTGCCCATTGTTACTCCACATACTGCTCATGCTGGGGACCCATGGGCTTGACCCAAGTGCTCAAGTGCGAGTCGAGTCTCTCTGCGCAGGCCGTCCATGTGCTCTTCAACCAGTCTCTCCAGATCCTTGGCACGCTTCGACTCTTCTTCCAAAAACTGTTCAACAGCCGCATCGGACCCAGCCGGCTCATCTGAAATCTACAACATGCACGACTCAAAATCATTGAGGAAAGACAGGTCACGCTAAAATAATAAAAACTAAAGAATTCTGACTTCATGTTCTATAACGCTTGCAAGTGACTACTTTCATTTAAAAACCATGAACAATGGCCCAGTGAACCTGTAATTTTCTGTGAATGTATAAAATGCACTGTAGGAGTACAAGTCCTAAACAAAGAAGCATGAATTCGCCATCACCTATTACAAAATATTAGCGTTCTGTGACTTAAGCAGGAATAAACAAAATAGTTGTGAGAGTTATTGTAAGGAAAATGTGGAATCAATTGTCACTTTACGCTTAATTACATAAGTTTACTGAAAAAAGACCGTGTACATAAGTAAAATATATATGGCCAATTGCATAAAACCCCTTAAGAGGATGATGTATGCCTCAGTTTATTTTTCAAAGCTGGATACATTCAGATATAAAAACACTAAATGTTTCATGTAGACTTAAGTGGCTTAACTGCAAAATCACCATCCGCAACAATCTTACCAGTAGATCCAGATCCCGTGTCTTCATTGTGTGAAACAATCTTCCTGGTTCATTAACACTGGCAAAGCTGTCGACTAGTTCATCATCAGACAAGGTTCTGGGGTAGGGTAGAGGTTCAAAGCTCGCAGCCAGAGGGGCAGCGTCGACGGCTGTCGCGTGCCTTGACCCAGCAGACTCTGCGGCCTTCAACTCAGACACGGGGTGTCCCTGCTCTCCTCCATCCGGTGGTGAGAACAGGCGCTGAATGTTAAACTGGAGCGGTTTCTCTGCGCCACCCAGTCGGCCGTGCGGCCCATGCATGTCACCTTCACTCTTTGTCCGTTGCTCCTTCACCGACCTGGGGATGCAGACACGGACACTCGAGTTGAAATTAGTGTTGCATCTTTGCCGTGTATGATTCAGCAGGATTTGTAAGCGCGAAGTGCTCTCATTATAACCTGGGCTGTTTTTATTTTCAATCACCAAGCTCTACGGAGGATCTAAATGATTAAGATGTTCTGCTTGCCGGCTGTGAATTACTGGGTAGTCATGCTTAGTTGATGGGGTACACCCATAACATGGCACATAAAAAAACACATGGCACATATTGAGGGCAGTATTTGCAATAATCTTTGGGTCTTTCGGTAAAGCCACGTAGATATAAAAATTATAAAAATATGACGTTTCGACCGCAACACAAACAATCGTCATCAGGTGCCCACAGATTCATGATCTGATCCCATCTGTGAAGGATGTGATCACTGACATGCAATACCCCGGTGCCTACAAACTAGGCTGTCTGCGGCAGTAGTTACATTGGGGAAACTAAGCGACATGTCTCGGACCGTGTTCGTGAATATAAGGCAGATCTGAAACACGGTAGGACCAATACCTCTGCCGTGGCTGATCATTGTGTTAACGCTGTGGGCTCACACGAAATTGATTTTTCCAAGACGAAGGTACTCTGCAAACCCACTGGCTATCAGCCAAGATTCGTTCATGAAGCCATCCAGATATATAAACACAGACACAATTTCAACCAAGAAGATGGATACAAACTGAGCAATCATTGGAAGGACGTTATTAACCAGTTTAAGTCATAACTGGCTGTGATGTTTCCTTCCTACCTGCCGATGTTAGCAGTTACTTTCTACTCTCTGAGTTACATTACCAGGTTAAATGTCTCACTGTCTAACACAGCCACCGTTGCTCGTTGGCCTCTGTATTGTTGGTTTTCTGTTTTCCTACATTGAAATGCTGATCTCTCACAATACAATGGCCATCTCCACAGCTTCGTAGACGTGGAGGTGGCCCAGCTCTCCGATCTTACATTTGCATGCAAATTTAATCTCTAGCCCCGCCCACTTCGCTTATGACCCATGTCAAACCTTTATAAACATCCTGCCTCAGCATCTCTCTCGCTATATTTTTTCATCTGATGACGATTGCTTGTGTTGCAATTGAAACGTTGTGATATTTATTTAAATTTTTATTGTATTATTTTTCTATCTACGTGGCTTTACCGAAAGACCCAAATAATATGAATTCCTGCAGTCATGAATGCTTTAAGTCAAGTATTTGCAATGTTTATAAAAAATATATATATATAAAAGTGTACTTCTTTATAGTGAAAAAGTCAATGCCCAGTTTATTACGTAACATTGTAAGCTTTGTGTATGGAACATCTGAAAAACATCTCAATACAGCAATTATGGAATGCGAAATGTGATGAGTGGACATGTAAAGATGTGTCAATTAATGTACCTAATCGTGCATTTCAATACACATATCGATAACACTGGGGGCATATATTTCTTTTTCTTTTTTTTATTATATGCCAAGGTTACATATGGGGTAAACGGAGAGGATAAAGCTCATCATTTACAAATGGGACGGAACAAATGAGAATACAAACCAACATAAATATTAAATAATTGATACTTCAATCACACTCCTGAGCCATTACAATTCATGAAATGAGACTGGAGGTAATATGAAGATGTGGGGCTTGTGGTTGTTGGGGAGCCGTAGGGTATCGGTTAGTGCGCTACGCTACATATGCAGCAACTCGAGTTCGATTCTCGTTCACCGTCACCAACACCAGTGACCATTATCTGAACCAGTTCTGGGCCTCTCCTTTATCGACTCAGCCTCAAATGAGTACCTGGTGCAGTATGTAAACATCAGCACTAGGAAACAAAGACGGCTGGGCGTGGTGCTGGCCACCCACCCCCTCGTGTCCCGTGCCAGCCTTCATAGGTGCTATTCGCTAACAGCACTTGCCCCAAAAGTCTGCTAAAGCTACACAGGGGATCGTTGGGGGGTGGCAAGTAGTTAAGTGGTGACTCATGAGGGGGATTGCGTGGCCAGGACACACCGCTCTTCACATCGCTCCATCTCGGGGACGTGATGAGACAGCACGGCGGCGGCAGAGCACAGGGCAGCCAGCTCACTCCGCAGCTGTCGGTTCTCCAGCTCCAGCTGCCCAACGGACACAGCGCTGCCCTCCCGTCTGTCCTGCATGGAATCAAAATCAGAATCTCTATTTACCCTGGACTGAATCCGATGAGCTATGAAGCTGTTTTTCACAGATGTCCAGGAGGGGCGTGACAGGTTACAACAAGCAATACAAAAAAAACGATAGGAGTGTCAAGTAGAGAAAAGGTAAGAAAGTCACTAAAAATATAAATATATACATCTATCTATATATAAAAGGGAAATTTGTGAATGTGTGTCTGTTCGAAATGTTTAGCATGCTTCCCGACATGCAACAAACTTGAAATTTGGCATGTGAGTAGTTTCCAGACTGTACACAATGCAAAAAGTATAAAAATAGACTTTTGTATTTCTTTGGGGGGGGGGGGGGGGGGGCGCAATAATGTATATATTTTGCACGGCAAGTGAGCGGTGATGTCACATCTGTGATGTCACGCAGCGTCACGCAGTGTGCCTGCTGACGTCACGCATCCCCCCCCAAACCCTCCGCGTAGGCCGTGTATTAATCCAAGACAAGAATCCAAGTCTCGGGCGAAGCCGGGTAGTAAAGCTAGTAAAGTATAAAATAGAATTTGCATAAGTACATTCCTGCTAACTCTTCAACACTAAACGCAAGCTTGGGGGCCGTCCATAAATGACGTCACGCGATTTTGGGCGATTTTTGACCCCCCCCCCCCCCTCTCGTCACACGGCGTCACAAAAAGTCAGACCCCTCCTATATAACGAACAAAACAGTAAGACTTCTCCACAAATCTGGCTGTCACCTGATGAAGCTAGTTGTAATAACTGGCGAAACGTCGTATTTGGTTTGTAAATGTTATGGCTTGGCTCTCCAACACACCGGTGTGCTGTACTAGTATACTACACTATACACTACACTATACACTACACTTGTGCTGTACTCGTGACGAATTGGCATGTTCTGTTTACGTGACAACCCTTCCTATTTGGCTGTGCCGGATGGTGGCGGGTTTTAATGATACATTTATATATTCACGCGATCTAACCCAAAAACCTCTATTATGGATGATATTGGTCGCGGAAGCCTACGTGTTAAACCGGCTGCTGCTGCTGATGTGTAGACGGGAAAAGCAGCAAATGAGTCCAGACTGAAGTCGATTTGTAAAGCAAGCCGAGTATCCCAAATGCTGTTCGTTGTGCTAAAATGGAATGTGCACCCACCTTTAAATAAACTGCTAGATGGCTGCAGAAAATGTAAATGGTCAACAATCCTAAAGTCAACTATAACAACAAAACTTGATCATCCACAGGCAATGACGCGAACACTCTGCCGTGGGTGTGCGAGAGTACGGTGCGACGGCGCCCTACGTGTTGGCACGTGCGGTGTAGCTCCTCGCGCAGATGCTGCCTGTTCTCCGCCTCTGGCCCACACGCAGCCTCCGCCTCGTGCTGGTCCTCTCCGAGCTGCTGCACTGCACTCCGATCGGACTGCAGCACCTTGCTGGCTTTTTCCAGTTGGCTTTGTAGGAGCGACATCGCACATTGATCCTTCTCCTCCACTGAATTCTGCCAGCAGATCAACTGGGCCTGGTAGTTCAGCGATTGCTGCTGTGAAAGCATCAGGCACAAACATGATTATCCACTTCCAAATTACCTTTAAATGGTAATGGGTTTGTATTTCTCAAAATTATGATTATTGCTATACTTGTTAACTGAGGGAGTCCTCACCGAGTCTCAACTTTTTCAGGAGGGTCCTGATACTTTTTTGCAGTCAGGGGCAACGACTGCTCTGCATTTCCCAATGAGGTCATTTGTGAATCGTTTATAAAAGTTTTTCAAACTTGGATCATGACACCGGCACACAATGGCCGCCTCGTTGCCATTAAAGCAATTTCGACGCAGATAATAACTCTGCAACAAACTGTTAATAGCACAACCACTCTGCCCTGTCACCGCCCCATGTGGCAATGCAGAGACACGCTGCATTCCTTTGGAGCTCTTTTCATACGGCAGTAGCAATATCCTTGTGATGGATTGCACGCGTAAAATTTTTATTTAGCATCTGCAAGTACAAGCTGATTTCCTGCTCGAATGAGCAAGGGGTCGGTGCTCATTTCCTGTTGACAGCCCTGAACCAGTTGTTTAATTTCCACATTCCTATGGCGGGGGCGAGTTTTTCCATAGAGACCACCGTCGACTTCCTCATAAAACAGAGACTTATGTTATTGATCCCAGAGGTATTATGGGCTGAGTCAACAACCAAACAGGATGTGAACTCGCAACCCTCCGATTAACAGCCTCTTGCTCTACTGCCGAGCCGCTTGGCCGGTTAAATTTGTATTAACGTGCTCGCTGCTGTATTGTACAACCTACCTGTATGGCTGTGCATTCTTCAGCGAGAGCTCTCCTCTGTGACTCCAGATGGGCCACCTGCTCTTGGTGCATGATCCTCTGCTTCTCCCACTCCAGTGACTGACTTCGGAACTCCTGAAAGAATTCACCACTTGTAAGCATTTGATCCGCTTGATATTCCTGTAATCTATATGTATAAAAGGGATATTTGTGAATATGTGTGTCTGTTCGAAATGTTTAGCATACTTCCCAACATGCAACAAGCCTGAAATTTGGCATGTGGGTAGCTAATTACACTTATAAAAGACATATCATCATCATCAGCCATGGAAAAGCCACTGCTGGATAAAGACCTCCACAAGCTGACTACATCATTCACAGTCAGTGTTATAATCTACCTACTACCTGCACATGAGATGAGCAGTGCGGTTAACAATGAGTGGTGTACCACATGCTGGACTCAACAGTGAGGGGTGCAATGCATTCTGTACTCAACAATGAGTGCTGCGTCATATTCTGTAACCAACAAAGGGTGGTGCGCCACATGATGGACTCAAAAATGGTTGCTGCACCCTGCACTCTACAATGGGTGGTGCGCCGCGTGCCATTCCTGATTACGCAATTGCGCACCACGACCACCTCGGTACTCGTGGGCAGCCCTGCTACGGAATCCTAACAGAAAATTGACTGTCCGGTGGGTGCAAGTGGTGAGTGTAAATATTACACGAGCATCACAACACACGGTCCAGGTGGCAGGGGGGGGCCTCTGTTGTAGCGGTGGCATCGTTACCTCCAGCTTCTGGCACAGGTGGCCCAGCTCTGCACTGGCGAGACTGCCATCCGTGTCCTGTCGGATCCGACTCGCCTGGCGCCGCTGATGCCGTTGGAGTTTCTCGTAACTGCCCTTCAGCTTGCCGAGCTGCAGGCAGGAAATAGCGGGCTCGAGCTGGGCACACGGCACGCTATGAAGAGCTCCACCACCAATACTTTCACTCGAGGGTTGTTAAACGATAATCGGTAAATTGGGAACCATTTTAAGAATAAATTACCCATTCTGTTTCCAGTGCAATGTTAGTATGCAAATGCTCAAACCGCGTAGCAGCAGGCCAAAGGGTAAATAACGGATTGGTAAATAAAAGGTAAACGTGCAGCCCCACAATTTCTTGCTCACACCACGACTGGCAAAAGGCCTGCACTCGATGCAGCTCTTGGAAGGTTTTTTGTCTCCTCTTCCACACTGACCACTGGGAACACCTATACTTTACCCCACCACGCGCGACGTGCCGATCGACTTCCGTACACCCATTTTATACACTTGGGTGGATGGGGGAGGGGGGAAACGGGAAACTCTCCCCATTGTTTCAACAGCCAAGCCAGCGACCTCTTTAGATGGCAAGTCCAGTTTTCTAAGTTCCCAATCATTTCACGACAAAAGCTCCCTTCATTTCTGTACTCCGTTACTGTCTGCTTTTCCCTAACTTCACATATTTCCTACGCTCTACCCTTCTCACTCCATACATCTACTTGCCATGTCTCCACTTTTCCGACTACACAAATCAGCCACACTGCTGCCCATCTGCATCTCTCGCTCTGTGCATGTCTGCCTCTCAATGCATGTCTTGCTTCTAATTCCACACACCTATATCTATGCATCTCCAATTTCTCACTCCACACATGTGCACTTGTGATAACCTAGGTTATCATAGTCACGTGTTTATAAACCTACTCGCATATATCCTGCTCGTGCCCAGCAACGGCGTGGTCACTGTGATGCATCACGAGTGAGTGTCGGACCACATGGAGCGGAATATGTGAAGGGTGCAATGTGTGAAGATGGCAGGGGAGAGGAGACACAGTGAGCGAGCGAGAGAAGCCGCGGCAAAACAACTCGTGACGTGCGCCCCCGAAGAAGCACGAACACCGAGCTTGAGAAGAGAGACGGTGGAAGGAAATGGATATGGGTGATGAACGGTGGAGACATAATTGCTTAAAGATACATGTGGGACAGCGGTAGGGAACACATAGTGGCAACATTTAACAGTGCGTAGAGATGTTTGGGACCTAAAAATTTGATAACACATGTGAAACAATGCAAGAAATGGGAACTTAACAACTCGTTTAACAAACATGGAAAACATACGTTGAAAAATGAAACACTGTGATAATGTTTCTAAACAATATTCTTGACTTTTTTCTTTATTAAAGGTGATTTGCAATTTTTTTAATGGTGAATTGCAATTCCAAGACCAGTGAACACTCACAGCATTTGATAAGAAGCGACCATCATCGTGGTTATTTCAGATTACAAATGCACACCGATGGCACGGAAACAAGAGGCTGAGAACAAGCCAAGGCAAACCTGATCTTTGCAATACTTGAGCTCCTCTTCATACCGCTGAGCCACCGCCGCGTGGGAGGTCTCCGCCGTCTCCAGCTGCTGCTTTAGCATGCCCACCTGTGTGCACGGCACTCCCAAATGTCAGCGCTATCTATCGATGCATTCTGTTCGCCGAGCTCGAGTGCCACCTTCACGCATGGGTTTCCAGTTCAAATCCTGGTCAGGAGCCAACTTGGCCAATGGTCCGCGTGCTACTATTAACAATAAACGTTTGTGGTAAGTCAGAAGAGATTGTTCTACGGGGAGACTGGAGTCCACCACACTAGTGTGGAATTTACACCTCTGACTCGCCACAAGGAAACCACTGTTGTGTAATGGAATTGCGTGTGGTGGGCTAAAGGGAAGGAAACACCCTCCCCCCCCCTTTGAACATATATCTATATATAAGTAAAAAATTGTCTGTGTGTGGGTTTGTGTGTGTTCGCGCGTTTGCGAACGATTTGCCTCTCCAACGGTGGGGTATACGTAAAAAAAATAGCCAGGTACCACGCCGTAAGCCCCGCGGTGAGCAAGCGCTATTCCTTTTTTACATCCGGCAACGTTAAATTAGTTTAATTAGCGATTTAGTGTGATTTGTGTGTGCTTCCCTTTTAATTATTTATGACGCATGCACGAGCATACCAACTCGCGCGCCTTTTGTGGGGGGGACGGCTCATGCCAACTCGCACGCCTTCGGTGGGAGTGAGGGGGACATTTTCTTTCGCGTAAAAAATTCTATAAAAATACACTAAACGCTGACGTTAATTCTCCACTGTGTGATGTCCCCCCCACCCCGATGCGTGCAGTTATTACTGCTATTCAGTCGCTAGATGCTACCACTATAGGCCGTAGATATTGCTGCAGAGCGGCCAGAGAGATTGTGGCTGGGGGGGGGGGGGGTCAGGGGTAGCAGCCCAGCCTCAGCCTGCCAAGATGCCACCTCGGCCGGCTGGACAATCTAGGCGAGGCCAAAGGCTCTGCACGGGACTAGGCCTCACCACGCCACTGTCAGGTGAGTACTTTGTGCTATACAGTCGATAAATACTGCATTAGAGTCAGCATGTACTACTATAGTGATAGCAGGTACCACCACAGTCGGTATGCACTGCTGTAATCATAGCTGGTATCACCAGAGTCGGTATGCACTGCTGTCATCATAGCAGGTACCACGACAGTCGGTATGCACTGCTGTCATCATAGCAGGTACCACGACAGTCGGTATGCACTGCTGTAATCACAGCAGGTACCACCACAGTATGCACTGCTGTAATCATAGCAGGTACCACCACAGTCAGTACGCACTTCTGTTCGATTTTTAAGAGTAGTTTTGAAATATTTTTAAGACCCAGGCAACGCCGGGTACTTCCCGCTAGTCTTACCTATAAACGTCATTCTTTGTCTGTTTGTCTGTGTTCATGCGCATGCAAGGGATTTGGCTCTCAAACGGTGGGGTTTACGTAAAACAAAATTAGCCAGGTACCACGCCGTAAGCCCCGTGCTTGGCATAGGCTATTCCTTTTCCACGTCCGTCACCTTTAAATGGGTTAAATGAGCTATTTTGTGAGATTTTGCTATATATAATTATTTTTTGCGCGACATCGACCGTACCAACTCGCGCGCATTCGGTGGGGGGGGACAGACCCTGCCAAGTGATATGCGTTCTGTGGGGTTGAGGGAGACATTTCCTTTCATGCGTTTTACATGCAATAAATATAGACATAACGCTGCGGGTATTTCTTCACAGTGTGATGTCCTCTTCGCCCCCCCCCCCCCCAACACGATGCGTGTAAGTTTATACTACAGAATCCGTAGATAATTAAATGATGGTGCTGAGATAGCATTATTGTTGCACGGGCGGGGGGATGGTGGGGGGGTGTAGCGGCCCAGCCCCCAGCCTGGCAACGTGCCACCTCCGCGGATTGGCAATCTAGGCCCGGACGGGGGCTCCGCACTGGACTCGGCCTCACCACGGCTATGGCAAGTACAATATCCTTGCTTCTTACGCTACAACCACATACGTACAAAACTGTTATTTTATTAATAACCTTGGAAACATTCTATTATTTTGGTTTGTGTGCTCACAACACATTTTTTTTGCTTCTAACTTGCGCATTACTTTCATCTATATTATTGTCTCAACTCACGTTCAAATACAACTATTTATGCAAAGGGAATATTGTATTATTTTTGTTTGTGTGCTCACAACAAATATTTTTTGTTCATAACTTGGCCAATACTTTCATCTTTATTGTTGTTAACTCACGTTCAAATACACCTATGTATGCTAATATCACCTTCCTATTTTTCAATAACTTATCTTTACTTACACTGAGGATTTCATATTCTTTGTCTCTTTCTGTTACATCACGTAGCTACAAACATTGTAATGCATTTTGCATTTGTCACTATGCCATACAACCCATACAAATAGCACACCGAACATTTTGTGCTTATAACTTGGACATTACTTTAATCTTCATTATTGTGTCAACTCACGTTTAAAATACAACTTATTTTGGAAAATATTACCTTCCTATTATTACATTACTTATCTTCACTTACAGCTTTAGTCACTGCAGGATTTCATAATCTTTGCCTCTTTCTGTTACGTGCACTACCATACACACAATACCATACACACCATGCTAACCACATTAACATACACACAATTCCAGAAACACACTACTAAACACATGACGGTATACACACAATACCATACACACCATGGTATATACATAATACCATACACACCATGGTATACACACCGTGCTATACACACAAAACAATACATACAATACTATACACACCGTTTTAGAATAATCACCTGGGAAATATTACGATCACAATGTTTGTGTGCGGACAAAAACATTTCTGTTCCTTGCTTCTTCCGCTAAACTCATGTACATTGAAAGTGTGTGTAAGTCGATGTGTCTGTCTGTCTTTTTCGCCCGGGCAATGCCGGGTACTTACCGCTAGTGTCTAATAAATGTGGAAGGGTAGACAAAATTACCTGTTGAGCTCCCTCTAGCGGAGGCTCTTCCACCAGCAGTGGAACGAGCAGGCAATTTACAGGACTTTACCTGCCTCGGCACAGCCAAGAGAGTTGAGCGGCGCCCATGGAAACACTCTGAAAGTCTGACTGCAGTGAAGCGAAGCATTTACAAGACAAACATGAGGGCTTGCCCAATACGTACTGTGACGATTTCAGTTTTAACTGCGCATACACACGTCACAACAAGACGCTTGACAGAGCAAGATTCTCGTTGTACATGTTGATAGCTACTGCCTCTTTGCATAAACTAGACGATGCTGACATCATATGCAAATCAATTTCCCCTCTAAAAAAACCTTTTGGATTTGCTAAATCCTATCTTTCACTCTGCCTTGCGCTTTATCAACTACTCCAGTTATCGCTGTGATCTTAACTCCAAAACCAGTTGTCACTCTCTTCCAACTCGGAGGGAGGTTCACTGGGCCAAGCTAACCTTAAATGCGCACACACACATATATAACTCAGTCCCTCGCCTAATCAAAAGTGGTTATTCAGGACCAAAACTCTCAGAAATAATAGACGCCCCACAAGCACTGAAGTGCACTGTAGCGAGGACACACAACTCGCATCTCTCACGGTTCTCACGCGTTCTGTGTTGATGCCCCAAACACCTGGAATTCCATCGCTACTAAGAAATGTCTTTGATTCATCTCACATCTTAATCACAACGCGAAGCAAAACTGTCAATTATTTATATCGTCATTTGAATTTGCATTTCACTTGCACATACTTGTATGTTTACACATAAGTATAATGGTAGTCACCCTTTATCTGTTTTCTGTAACTCACTTGTAATTGTATTATTATCAGTCTAAAAATGATTTGCGTGAGCTGACTTGCATTACGGGGAATTGGTTAACATCTGATTTACGTTTGTGCAATATTGTCAATGTCTCATCTTATGCAGTTGTTTTTGTACCGATTTCTACTTGCTTCATAGCTGTACTCTATTTTATTTGTTTTACTTTTCATCATTTAGGTGACCAAGTTCACTCTTGCAAATTAGACTATCCCTGCTCTCTTGGGTTCTCACCTATTTAAACAAATAAGACTTCAACTGGTCATGTCCATTCAGACACCATGCAAATGCAATGCTAATGACCGAGTAAGCAAAAAGAAGCCCCACCTCCTGGTGCTTGCGTTCCAGCGTGGAGCGGCAGAGGAAGAGCTCCTGCTCACGCACCTCCAGGCGGGCCGACAGCGCCTGCAGCTCACGCTCCCACTCCTGCTTGCGTTGTCCCACCATCACATCGATCTGCCGCATCAGCTCCTGCAGTTCTGCTTCACATGATGTCAGCTGACCCCTGTGTAAAAGATCGACAACGGACCTGGCAAAAACTCTCATGATCCAGCTGTGAACATCCAGCAGACACAAAACGTTGGGACCAAACCTGCAAGGGCTTAGCAAGGTGAGTGGGCCATATTATCACGTTACACCTACACAAGGTAACCATGTCCTCCCCGATCCGCAGATATTTGTTTGTTCACTATTTTATTTTACCAGGTAAGGCCCACTGAGCTGCTATATAGCTATTTTTCAGAAGCGACCTGGCCACAAATGATAGCTCAGCAAAGTGGCTTATAATGTAAAAATTTACAGCAGCCAAATACTCGAAACGCCTGTGGTGGAAAAACCGGAGGACCTGGAGACAAATCTACAAATATACAACAGGCGTCAATGTCAGGATCAAACCCACGATCTCCTGCATAATAGGAGAGGTAGTTAAAATCTCGCCACCGTGACGAATTCCATTAATGGGTGTTTGGCATGTGGGAGGAAACCAGAGTACCTGGAGAAAGCCCACTCATATAAGGATGTAACCCTTAGAGCTCTGCACATATGGATTTAAGATTATTTGTTGTACTATGTACTTCGATCTCCTGGCCACCCCACAGCCCATGCCTACAATACCTGGTATTCTCAGGTAATCCCAATACTATATAAGCTCAACGCTATGCAGCATCTGAGATGTGATAACACAAAGAGCATCAAGGGTGATTTGTCCAAGAAATGTGTAATCATACAGTAATACATTGATTTATGTCTCCCCCTTTGCCGTTTCCAAAACACATTATCACTTTATTCATACCTCTGCCTGATTTGCATCGCCTCAACCCCACACTTATGTCGCTGACAAAATCCGTCCTTTCTCGTATCCGTTGTCTCTCAGCCTTCGCCTCCATTTACTACCCTGTGAATTGCTTTGATTTACGTTGGGTCAATATTCGTTGTCGCACCTTTCAGGAACGCATCCCCGATGTAAACCGAGGCATGACTGTACATGCTGGCGAATCCACCGCCACAGAGCTACTGTGGTGTAGTGACCACCACATTCAACTTGCAATCCACAACCACTATGATTGGCGAGCACCATGACTAGGGGCCTCAGTGCACAAGGTCCACGAAAGCAACACCCTCCTCACCTTGCTAGGCCATCGAGGCCCAGCTCCAGCAGGCGCTCCATGACACACGCGGGACCACACTTTCAATCCCCGTTTGGGCGTCTGAAAAATAAAGCACAGGTACATTTGCATGAAGGACTCCAAAGGCGGCACTTCTTGGATAGTTTATTATCCTTAACAACGTCCAGTGCCTACCGCCAGCCAACACCTTCCCTCTCTGCTTCCCCCCCTCCCTCTTTCCTTTTATCCTCCCCTCTCCAATCCCCGGCCATGCCTTCCTTCTAATCAATGCCTCTGCTCCTCTTCTAACAGTCCTCAACAGATCCCTTGCGCCTCTTTAAAACATTCCCGCCTTCTCCCTCTTTCAAACCTTTCCAACCAATCACCATCTTGCAAGCCACATTTTAGCTATCCTGATGCAGTAGCGCCACCCCGTTATGGTGTTCAAGATATCCGTGTCACCCCATGTCTTACAAAGACGCTATCCAAGGATGTCTAACATCCTTACCCATTGAGAATGTCTGGCACGTCACAGTACAAACACAAGGGACACTCCTCATATCCGTGCATACTGCTTGCTGGGCAAGGTGCTCGTCAAGCACAAGATGTTGCCATTGTTGGCGAGTCACGGGGCGTGTGGATTTGCGTCATTGAATTGTCTCCGGGATTCGTAGCACACCGTAGCGCTAACCGCTACGCGCCCACGCACAATGTTTTCGACTCGACTCAGCTAAACCGAGTCAAAACGATGTGTATGCGGGGACTGGTCCCTCGGTTTACGATGACATAGATTAATGATATTTTGATAAACGATCCGCCTCCCATAGAGTCGCATTGTTTCAATAAATGATACATTTTCGCTTAATGATGTGTTTACGATATCACGCGGACTCGCCTATTTCGGCCAATCGGAGCGGTCCTAAGTGGACTCGGCAGACCTCAGCCAATCAGCAATGCCCTTTTATGAGCGTTTTATGAGCAACTGGCTCCTAGATTTCCAATAGTTGATGTGTGTTGGTTATGGAAAGCAGCTCTCGTGAATACGCAAGTGTTTTTTTAAGTTAAATAAGATGAATAACAATAACTACAATTAATGTAAAGAAAGACAATAAGTCTTAAAGCTTTCGTGACTACAGGAATTCATATTCTTTGGGTCTTTCGGTAAAGTCACGTAGATAGGTTCAAAAAAATATAACAAAAAACTACGACGTTTCGATCGCAACAAACGTTCGTCATCAGGAAGAGGGGATTAGCTTCTAAAGACAAACTGTTGTTAAAGGTTTGAAAAGGGCGTAGCCCAAATGTCAGCAGCCAATGTTAATGTAAGTGGTGGGCAGTGACCACGATGGTGGTGGGTTTTCCCACCAATCAAAGGGCTGTCCAGTAAGAATTAGCATGTTAATGTAAATCGTTGAGCTGCCTCCACGGCCAGCGCCCTGAGGTGGCTATGTTAATGTAAGAGATGAGCATGTTGATGTGAGAGATTAGCATGTTAATGGGAGATCGCAAAGAAAAAACCTCGAGCTCAGTGAGCGAGGTGGCTGTTAGGATGAGAATGTTTACTTGTTAATGTAAAATCAGAGCCGAAAATAACTAACATCGGAAGGTGGTAGGAAGGGAACATCACAGCTAGTTATGACTTAAACTGGTTGATAACGTCCTTCCAATGATTGCTCAGTTTATACCCATCTTCTCGATTTAAATTGTGTCTGTGTCTATAAATACGGATGGCTTCATGAACGAATCATTGTTGATAGCCAGTGGGTTTGCAAAGTACCTTCGTCTTAGAGAAGGTACTTCTTAAACCCACAACACTCACATGACCAGAATCTGTCTCAGATAAGCAGCTCAAAACGCCAACAACAAGTCTCGCTTCAAGCTGCCGAAGGGTCCAAGTAAAGTCACTGAAGGTATAAAATAAATTAAATCACGACGTTTCGGGCGCAACACAAGAGTCCTTCATCAGGTGGGACAACCCACAGCAAGAAACAATTGCTGAAGTGGGCAAAAGTGGGCTGGCTGCAAGTCCTCTTGACATCATTCTCACAAAGCCCCCTGCCACCCTCAGCCAGGGTCGTGAGGCGAACACCTCCTGCGGCCACGTAACATCACGGCACGTGTGTAGTAAGTACCCTGGCTATCCCACGTACACACTCACACGAGGACACTCACACGTACACACTCACACGTACATACTCACACGTACACACTCACACGAGGACACTCACACGTACACACTCACACGAGGACACTCACACGTACACACTCACACGAGGACACTCACACGTACACACTCACACGTACATACTCACACGTACACACTCACACGAGGACACTCACACGTACACACTCACACGAGGACACTCACACGTACACACTCACACGAGGACACTCACACGTACACACTCACACGAGGACACTCACACGTACACACTCACACGTACACACACGTACACACTCACACACGTACACACTCACACGAGAACACTCACCGTTGACGCTCACTCGCACGCGCTCTCACCGCAGTACAATTTGCAGCAGCACATTCACCACCTTGATTCCACGATGTCTCCCCTGCGGCGCTCGTGTACTCTCTGTCGCCTGTAACTCTCACTGGAGCCGACTGCCGCTGTCGTTGCCGCCAAGAGACGGCGGGAAGCCAGCACGAGCACACACACACGCGTTGCCCACGTGCCGCGCGTGTGTGTGTGTGTGTACATGTGTGTAATGTACACACACACGCCTTGCACAAGTAACACACAATAATAACAACGCGGGCGTGGCGCTCACACTCTAACGATTCGTCGATTATCCATAACTAACTTGCGCGCGCGTATCGATTAATCGATTACGACCACAACGGTGACCCCGGAAGTTATGGCTTGACCCAGCCGTTCAATCCGCCCCTCACCCATCGGCCCCGCCCCTCACCCCTCGGCCCCGCCCCTCACCCAACAGCCCCGCCCCTCACCCCTCGGCCCCGCCCCTCACCCCTCAGCCCCGCCCCTCACCCCTAGGCCCCGCCCACCCCGCCCATGCCACCGCCCCTCGCCATCCCCCCGCCCATCACCCCCCGGCCCCGCCCCTCACCCCTCGGCCCCGCCCCTCACCCCTAGGCCCCGCCCACCCCGCCCATGCCCCCGCCCCTCGCCACCCCGCCCCGCCCCTCACCCCTCGGCCCCGCCCCTCACCCCCGGCCCCGCCCACCCCGCCCATGCCACCGCCCCTCGCCATCCCCCCGCCCATCACCCCCCGGCCCTGCCCCTCACCCCTCGGCCCCGCCCCTCACCCCTAGGCCCCGCCCACCCCGCCCATGCCAACGCCCCTCGCCATCCCCCCGCCCATCACCCCCCGGCCCCGCCCCTCACCCCTCAGCCCCGCCCCTCACCCCTAGGCCCCGCCCACCCCGCCCATGCCCCGCCCCTCGCCACCCCCCTAGGCCCCGCCCCTCACCCCTCAGCCCCGCCCCTCACCCCTAGGCCCCGCCCACCCCGCCCATGCCCCGCCCCTCGCCACCCCCCTAGGCCCCGCCCCTCACCCCGCGGGCGTCACTCGGCGTCGCGATCTTCTTTGTGTGGCGAGCGGCGGCGGAGGCGGCGAAAATCGGGGAGACGCGAACACTTGAGGTGAGCCATCCTCCACACACACACACAACACACAACAACAACACACACAACACACACAACAACACACCAACACACACCAACACACACAACACACCTCCTCTCACACTCAACACTCTCCTCGCTCGCTCCTCCAACACGCCTCGGCTCACTCGTGCCGACAATCCTCTTCCCCACCACATTCCTTATACTCCCCTCACGGCAGTCATCGAACGCCCTCCAATCCTCTCTCCCCACACTGTTCTGTTACTCCCCACACTGGACTCACTCCCCCCACATTCTCCACTCTCACCCCACATTCTCACCCCACACTCTCCACTCTTACCCCACACTCTCCACTCTCACCCCACACTCCCCACACTCTCCACACTCTCCCCCCACACTCTCTCCATTCGCGTCTCTCACCCCCATGGCTGTAAACGTGGACAGTGTGAGCTGGTAACGCGTGGCCGTACAGTGCGCTGCGTGTTACCCTGACAGCGTGAACCGGGAGCTCCCCTCTGCTGCCATATGTTGTTACACGCGCTGGGCCCCCGTGTCTCGTTTTCCACGTGTTCTATGCAACCATTGCTTCCTTGTGTTTTGAATAGCGGACGCAATTATGTCAACATCATAACCTGCTACTTATGGGAACTATCGTGGTGTAATGGTTATCGCACCGGACTTGCAATCCAGAAGTCGTCGCCGGTTCGATCGTCCAGCGAGGCACTTGAAGCAAAGGGTCAAGGTGTCTCAAATGTCCTCGTTCGGCCTCCGACTGCAATCGGCAGTCTGGCCTCACCGGAGATTCAATAGGCACAGGTAGTGTGTGTGTGACGGGGGTTAAACAAAACACAGTGTCCCACCCCGTCGTCCAGGACGTCTGCTCAACGTGGAAGAGAGGACCCAGACATCCTCGAGAGGGATTTCTAGAAGTGAGGAGGCCCTTTTCTTACCGCCAGCTGTTGTCGTGAACAAGCAATCAGATGCAGGGGCCACAATCGCCGGAGTGGCCACTGAGGACTGGAGGCCCGGTGTCTCGGTGTAGGAGGTGACCACCAGCTGTCACCCACCCCCGTGACCTGCATTTAACACGGATTTAGAGGTAATTCCCCGTCAGCTTGTTAGAATGCCAATCATTTAACAACCTTTTTGCGAAACACTTGTGGATGAAGGCCCCTTACTCTCTGTAATTATGGGGCAGTTTTACCATACGGTAACCTCACCGCACTGGTGAGTGTAATCTCTCCAATGCGCGTTGGGAATTTCTGACCATTACTGAGACTGCATAACCATTGTAGTACAGATGGTGATGGCGGTATTCATAATGTTTATGCAATCTAACCCAAACAAATCTATTATGGATTATATTGGTCGCGAATCCCTACGTGTTAAACTGGTGATGGTGGTAACCTCATCAGAATATGGATAACTGTACAACGATTAATTGCTTTTGGAGCACTGAAACCGTTGAGGAAAATTAGCATAACACTTTCTGAAGAACATGTTTTAATCGCCGCTTATTACCTACTGCGACGTGGATCAGAAACATGGACTTTTACGACGTTGAACCAACGTTGAAAAGTGTACAAAGAAGCATGGAGAGATACATGTTTGGAATTACGCTGTGAATAAAGTGCATTGATCGGGAACAAATGCAAATCGGTGACATTGACTTGTAAAGTGGGTTTGGACAGAACACAAGAGATGGTGGCCAATGGATACGACTGGTGATGGAATAGCAGCAGCCAAAGAAGAGAACGGTGCCCAAGAGATGGAGCATTGAGATCGGTTCACGTGCAGGAGTGAGATGAATTGTGGGATCCCGAGACTGTGAGGCACATTGACAGCATGAGAGGAGGTCATCTTCTGGACGTGATTAACTGTTGATCCATCACTGATATGTGTTTGTGCACTTGGGCAGCAGCACATGGCTGGTTAAAATGTCATCAACCCTGTCATTCTGTGTGTGCAGAAGCAGACAACAGGGCAGCATCGGCGACCATAACAAGACCCCAGGGACTGAACTGGGCCAACGAGAGCTGTGCGCAGGGGGCTGATATCTTGCACTGGCATGAGCGACTCGGCAGAGTGAGCAAGAAGCCTCCACATGCTGGTGGGTCACTGTTCTGTGCTGAACACGCACTCCACGCCTGGGAAGGTTTTCATGACAAGGTTCCATTTCCCCTCTTGTATTTGTTTTACCTCAATCTAGATTTGAAGTTTCCGTGACTGCAGGGATCCATACTCTTTGGTTCTTTCGGTAAAGCCACTATGAAATTGAGTTGCACCAGGGCCGTGCCGAGCCAGGATGTTTTTTTCTACTGCAGAAGCCAAGCTGCCGTGCCGCTGACGTCTCGCGCTACGAACAAATCAAGATGCGTGTAGATGACGCAGTGACGTTTTTGAGTTATACTCACTGACATGTCATGCAATGAACATGTCATTAACGCCGCCCCGGGCCAGCTTGACCCTCCCCAAGCCAGATTCGGATGTCTTATTAGGACTATGTAGCACAGTTTGGTACCGGCTTGGCATGGCAAACAGCTAATGGAAAACCTACTTGTACTGTGAGGACCCTGCGCTGGGTTGGCTTGGATGCACCAGTGGAAAAATTGGTGTTTGTGGTTAGACCTTATATGTGCCGGGCACAAACCTATCATTCTGCAAAAACTAGGGAAAGTGAGGCTGAGGTATTTTTCGTGATTCAGCATTGCTAAGATGAAAAGTAGTCGGCGTTCATGACCATGCTTCAAAAAGTCACGTTAAAGCACATGTAGGATTTTAATATTTCACAGTTTAATTGATTTAGCTATGTGGTGTGGTTTTGGATTGGAAGCTAACCCCTGAGGAAAAAAAACACGTCTCGGAATGGTTGAGGTTCTATATTGGAATCTTCAGCAACAATTAATTTAAATGATTTAAAATACAATGCAACTGAGATATTCTTGGTGTTTAAATTGTTCAATGCTCAGAAATGTACACGGTTTAATCTCCCGATGGCATCGCAAGGAAAAATAAGTTGTACCACTGGGTTTTTCAGATACCTGACAACCTCACTGTTCTACATTCTCGACAGCATTCACTGTATATCCTGCGACAATCGGGTCACGGTAGCTATTTAGCCGTACCGTTACCCTCGGTAATGTATGGGAAAACTACGTGGAGAAATCTATAATTCTGTGTTTACAGATTTACTGTGAGATGTTGTATTGTGTTTTACAAATTGTAATGGTAAAATGTCCAATTTTGAACACGTAAACATGAACACACCGCATTCATTAATGGGGAATGCTTCTCTTGCTGTGTTTGTTTAACTCGCATTCAAGGGAACTTTGTACCTTGCAACTGTTGGAATGTCTCTGTGGTTTTACATTGTTTGGGTGAATGGAGAGTATATGATAAAAGAGTCTCTTAAAAACATAACATTGTGGAAACAGCAAAAACCGCTAAATTTTAAACCACAGCCAAGTTTATACTAATGTTTTTTTCGATAAAATTGGCAAAAGGCATAATCATAGGATCATGTAGTCCTAAACAAATGCATTGATAACTCTAGTATGTTTGTAACTCGCACGTGAAGGCTAAGTTATTGGCTGCACGGTCGAGGTTTATCAGGCCCAGGTGTGTATTGCTGTGACCACTGCTGGTGGCTGTGCATGTGGTAGGGGCTGTCGTCCTCAGAGCGCTCAAGCAACTGGCATTCCTGAGTTGGCTACATAATGACCGCCTTGTGTCCGAGACTTAAAAAACAAACGAGCGCCACACAGCCTTGTTACAAATACATTTGACAAAAACTTCTACGCTCGGTATGGTTTTGGCTTTAGCTGGTGGGATTGTCGCCAGAAGGCTGCTGCCCAACCCCCATCCCACAGTGTACCGCACTCCCTGGAGGACATTCTTGGAATATAATCTGTTTAAGGCAGAGGAAGAGTGTGGAATGAATGGGCCCTGTTGTGGGAGCTCGGGTGTTTTTACATCACCGACTACGTGGGGTTGGGGAGGCTTGACTGCGGCCAGGCTTTGTACAGTGCACAGAGCTACATTTTCAGTGAGCACTATGACATTTTTTTTCTGGCAGGCTGTTTAAAAGCAATTTCTAGCTTTGCTAAAGGTCAGCTCCTGAGCTGGCTCTGCTGAGATGCTTGGGTATAGATCTCGGCAGTCGCCAGTGGTTAAACTGCGTTCGAAAGTGGAGTGAGTTGATTGGGCTCACAAGTCAGGTCTGAGATTAAAATATCATGTGATGAACGTTTCTGTCTCTAGCAGGGTGGGTGAAAGATTGCAACCCCTAGTGTGGATAAGAGGTCACTGGAAGGGATTTCACAGATCGTTTTATGATTTTTAATTCTGCGGGTTGTTTTCTAACTGCAGTTGTGCCACTGACATAACACACAGTGAATGAGTGGACATCCACGTAGATGGCGTGGTGATGCATTGTCTTCATGGTGTACCGAGTGATGCCACAAGCAATGAATGTGTTCGTCGCCCCACCCCAGGACCTGCTTGGCCCTGAGCCAGATTGAATGTCTTGTGAGGCTAGCGTAGCATGATTTCGTTCTGGCTTGGCTTGCAAACTAGCCAGTGGAAAATCACCCGTACTGTGTGCGGCCCTGCACTGGCTCGGCTCAGATGTGTCAGTGGGATAAATCGTATACTGAGCCACAAAGAGAAATGTAAATTGACGCAAAAGATGTAGCCATGTCAATCCACGTGCGAATGCTCATTTGCAAGGAAAGTGGTGGCCTTGTTTTGCACTCGTTATTTGGTGATGCTGCGTTGCAGTGGTGCACAAGGACAACTAACAAAATCAATCTCCACACATTAATCAACACTGCTTAAAATAAATCTAAAAATAAGCAATGTTTTAGGAAATGTCTTTTCTCTATGCTATGAAGAAATGGCCATTGCCCGAAATGTTGCCTGTGACGTATTTTCCATTTTAAGCAGTATTATTGATGAACGTGAGTTTTTGTTTCACATTGCTTTATAGTTAATGTGTGTCGAACATTTGTCTTCAAGTGCTCATGGATTTGTCTTCAAATGCTCAGGGATTTAATCAGCTAATGCTAAACAGTTAATTTCCTGGCACGATTATAAAAAATGTGAATAGAGTAGTATGAAGTGTTCCATCAGGATTTTTTTTTATACAGGTATTTTTTAGTTTTTCCGTGTTATACAAAAGCAGATGTTTTCGTTGAGCTCCCACACACACGTAGGTTTTAGAACCGCACACACACACTGGATGTAACTGTTACGCTGGTGATTGTTTGGTTTCCATGTGAGGACGGGACCGGGCTGGGTGTGTGGGGTGGGGGCGGATAGGGAACCCAACCGAGGCTTGCTTGGCATTTCCTGTTGCGTGCCTCGGGGCCTCAGACCTCAGCACAGGCAGATGTCGGAGATTAATATGTGACGGTACGGGGCTTGAGCTGGTTACACACTGCACTCTGGTTGTGCTTGAGCTAGGAAAGGAGTACATATTGGTTTTTTGATCTGCAAATAAAATGTAAAAATAGTGGTTGCAATACTGAGCAACTTGCAAACTTAATATAACGGAGTTATTTGCATAGTGTTATTCATTTGAATGTCGTAAACTTGATCAAAGTAAACCGATCTTGTACTTGCCGCGTGTTTAAATTCCATAACGAATGCCGAAGAGCACTTGTGCTCAACCATTTATCCACAGATCCCAAGAGGGTTGGAGCGAGTGTTAGCGGGTGGCAAGAGCTCAGGGCTAGCGAACAAGAGACGAGCTGTTTGGGGGTGTGGAGGTTGTATTGGTTGGGTTCATCTTCTTCTTCTATATATATAAAAGATAAATTTGTGATTGTGTGTCTGTTCAAAATGTTTAGCATACTTCCCGACATGCAACAAACTTGAAATGTACCATGTGGGTACTTTCCAGACCATGCAAAAATAGACTTTTTTTTTGGGGGGGGGGGCGCAATAATGCATATATTTTGCACGGCAAGTGAGCTGTGACGTCACATCTGTCATGTTGTAGTACAGAGTTAGACTGATGGCCTTAATCTAAGTTGTCTTGTGGTTGTTGTTGTTGTTTGACTTGCATCCCACTGGGATTTTTGCACACAGCGTTGGTGTACGGTGTTTTTTCTGCAATATTTTTGCTGTCTTTTCTTGGATTTTCTGTTTGCACTTAGTCACATATTCACTTTAAGATGTTTTTTGTTCATGTTTTTTGTTTTTGAATGTGACCCGCGTGCGGAAGCGTAACGGATTGTGCCTGCTGATCGCGGGTAAAGTAAAATACAAATGTGTTGCAGGTCTAAGGCGTTCTTCGTGCAGCATTGCTTTATTATTTCAGTCGTTTACTGGCGTACATACCCTGAAAGTTGTGGGTGTCTGCAGCAAACGCGTGTATGTGTACGTATGGACACGCGCGCGTGTGTGTGTGTGGGGAGCGGTAGTGTCGTGGTTAGCGCGCTGCGCTACGAACCCGACGACCCGAGTTAGATTCCCGCTCATGGCCACCACCGGTGACGATTATTTGAACCGGTCCTGGGCTTCCCCTAGGTCGACTCAGCCTAAAACGAGTAACTGGTGTGGTGTGTGAACATCGCCACTAGGGAGACAAAGGCGGCCAGCGTGGTGAATCCAAGTCCCGGGCGAAGCCGGGTAGTAAAGCTCGTGAGAACATATGAGAATGATGCTTATTGCTTGCCCATTTGTTTTGTAGTCTCCATTTTGACTCTTCGCAATTATTTAGTATTTTACAAAAGACACGGTTTGTGGCAACTGACACGAAATCAAGGCTGTTCTCTGGCATCGCAGGAGCGAAAGCTGCAGCACACAGGCCAGGAGTTGCTTGGCTCATGACTGGCGCAGTATTTATTTTGCTCTCTATACCGCACGAGATTGAGCATTTCAGAGTAAAATTTACACTCCCCCCCCCCCCCCCCCCCCCCATTGTTGCAGGTGGTCGAGAGCTAAGTGGCCCGCTGTCTTACTTCATGGGCGACCCCTATGCAAGAGAGCGGGCGCTAGAAATGAGAGCTGCAGAAGACAACTCTGGAAAGGTGCTGCAGAGGCTCATTCAAGAGCAGCTGCGCTACGGCGGCGTCACCGACAACCGTGGCCTCTTAGCCATCCAGCAGCAGGCGACCACCGCGGGGTCACCCACGCCGGCCAACGCCACCACGGGTGCTGGCGCCTCCCACGGAGCTTTGTCCCTGGCCCCCGCGTCTCTGGGAGCGGTCTCTTTGGGCGGCGCACCAGGCAGCGACAGCAGGAAGCTCCATCTCTTCCACGGAGAGCTTGGTGCAGGATTTGCGTCAATCTGCCCGGCAGGTCAGCAGCACTGGATGCCGCACTGTGACATGACACCCCAATGATAGTTCAATAAACTGTGCTCGTCGAACCGAGTGTTCATTTCAAGATGTCGCAGGAATTTGGGCCGCATAGTCAGAGCGAGCAATTCCTGATCAGGTGAGCGTTTAGGTGGTTTTCATCTCATGTTTAAAGCTCTGAACTAGTGGTGGAAATTATTTTTTTCCAATTGCGGGGGTGAGTCTCTCTGGAGTACAACCACTGTTGACGTTCCCACAAAGTAGTACTGCTCATTTCATTAACCCCAGTGGGAGGATGGGCTCAATGGTAGGGTTATTTTAGTCTTAAGACATGGTGAGCCTGTAGGTGTTAGGGAGATGCTAAGGATAAAATATACACTTGTAAACTGTATACTGTAACAGGCGTGTGTTCTCCTTGCATTTAATAAAGATGGTGAATACTGTTAAAATGCAATCACGTGACAAAGTGTAACTGCCGTTGAATCAATATGGATATCATGGTCTGGAAGTAATGTACCATTGCCGTGCTATTACCACACAGGAGCCACAGGGTCAAGAACACCAAAGCAGTGAGACTCCAGAGAAGCAAGCCCAACGTCTTGCCTTACTGCAGCAGCAAGCACTCCAGCAGCAGTATCAGCAGCAGCAGTATCAGCAGCATCACACTGCCACTGAAGAACTTCCATCTTACGAGGAGGCCAAGGTCCATTCTCAGTACTACTCCAGCCTGCAGAGTCAAGGGTATGTGACAAGCCCGTTACATATATAGGCAATAGAGCAACATTAATAAAAAAAATGTGAATGATTAAAAATATTGAAGTGTGTTTTTTTTGGACAATATCCATGTATACCAAAAGTATTGTACTTATTTTGAGAAGACGGTCATAAAATATTTGTAAAGCTGTGGTATACCTTATTCTGATGTTCATTGAATACTATTCCCACACATCCTGCTGCTGTGGTGATGAGATGTTATCTCTCTCGCCTTCTACACAGGAGGTCGTGGGTTCGATCCTGACCCATTATGTCTGTGTATTTCGATTCACATGTTCTCTCTCCCCGTGGTCGCGTGGATTTATCTCCAGGTTTCTCAGTTTTTTTGCCCTACGCATTTAGAAACACGTGTGTTTAGATTATTCGGCTGCCACTATAAATTCCCACTTATGATACGCCACTGCGATGAGCTTTTATGCATTAACAGGTCACCTCTGAAAAAGCGCAAATAGCTTATTGGAATTTACCTGGTAGTTAAAATATTTGAGTTTGTAACAAAAAAACAAAGACGAAGATCCCCCGTATAGCCTGACCAGACTGTTGGGGCAAGTTCTGTTAGTGAACAGTACCGATGAAAGCCAGAACGGCACACGAAGGGGTGGGTGGCCAACACCACACCCGGCTGCCTTTGTCTCCCCAGTGGAGATGTTTACACACCGCACCAGGTACTCATTTAAAGCTGAATCGACCTAGGGGAGGCCCTGGACCGCTGGTGTTGGCCGTGAGCGGGAATCGAACCGGGTCACCAGATTCATAGAGCAGAGTGCTAATCGCCACACTACCGCTCCCCCATAAGTCATTGACAAGTGGTGTGTTCCGTTTGTGTTGCTGCATTGGCTCTCGGAAACAGTTAATTGCTTGCTGAAGCCAAAGCAGAGGAAGTGCAACTGAATTGCCATATTCAGCTTTACCGAGTGTCAGGTGTTTTTGCGTTTTGCTCTTGAGGACGTTGTGCCTTTTAAATGTGGTGATGACATGGCCCAGTGGTGGCACGTTCACTATTTGTTGCGCAGTTCAAATTCGGCTAACTGCCCTGGTTGATACTGCGAGGATATTAGCCGCAAAATACTAAGCTCCCTCTGCTTCACAGTGGATGTTACAGATCCCGTGACGTCATTCAAAAAGAGTAGGATATCGTGTTATTGGGGTCATGGTCCAAATGAGAAAAACTACTCAATTGGAATTGCACAGAGCAATTATCACCCCATACTTCTTAGCAGTTAGTCTTAAGACTCGGCGAGGCTTTCCTGGCTAAACAAGTGGAATAATAAACAATCCGTGATTCACTCTGTGCCTTCTATCCAGACCTGGTTCTGACGAGTATTGAATCTTGTGTGCTGCAGTCAAGGGCAGACGGTTCACCAGGCCAGGATGAGCAACACGGGCCCTGCTGCATTCTACGTGACGGCCACGGTGGGTGCGCAGAAGGGCCGCACGGAGGGCAGGCCAGCCGTTCAGAGGACCAGCCCACTTCCCATCATGCAGGTACACAGGGCAAGACGTTTTGGCCAAAGCCGTTTTCCCACCATACCTCGCCAATGTTTTCTACCCTCCGACAGATCCCACGGCTGCTTCTCCAGGCACTGCAGCGGCCTGCATTCTTTAGGATGAGGTGGAGGAATGTTGTCATGTGTTATAAAGACATTCATGGATGATTGTATTCGTTTATTTTGTTGGTATATTGCAAAGTGCAGATGCCATGAAGTTCAATCCAAAAAAAATCTCATTTCTGATGGATTTTGCTTCATCGTGTTTCCTGAAGTCAAGTCACAGTCAGTGATTTTTTGCTCAAATGAGCATTGAGGCATCGTTTATATTCAGTTTTTTCATTTTGATTTGTGGAGGTTACCACATTCTTCCAGTGGGGTCTGGTTTTTCCATAGGATAAACAAATTTTAATGTCCCCACAAACTATGGTGCTCATATTATTGGCCCTAGAGGGATGATGAGTTGAGTCAACCACCCCAACCAGAATTTGACATCTTTGATCGTGAACAGCTCACGACTGCCGAGCCGCTTTGCCGGATAGTCGCGTGTAATGTACACGTCGCATTTTGATCATCTTTTCTGCTTGTCATAGCAACAACAACAAAAAATCCTTTTTATGGTGAACGTTTTGTCGGTGCAGGATGACGGCCTTAAAGAGCTGAAGCAGGGCCACGTGCGCTCTCTGAGCGAGCGACTCATGCAGCTCACATTGGAGAAGAACGGAGCCAAGGCTCAGCTGCCGCTGGGCAGCTCCCCTCCCAGCAGTGTGCCACAGCAGTCGAGCGCAGACTTCTGTCGTTTTCAAAATCAGTCGCCGCCCCAGAGACCTTACGACCCACGGGGCCCACCTCCAGAGTACCCTTTTAAACACAAGGCGGCGTTCGCTCCGCAAGGAAGTCCACTTCAACTCAACCAATTTACAGCTCTCCAGCACCAGCATCATCATGTGCCAGGTGCAGCGGAACAGCATCTTCTAAGATATCAGCCACCACCTGAATACAACATGGCCAGGTATGATGGAGCCATATGTAATTAAACGCCTGTGACTAAGGGTGCACCAAATATTCACCTTTGGCCAAATATCAATTGGGATCAAATGTGAAGTGAAATATTAGGTTTAAGCAGGGAAAGAAAAAAAGATAAAGGGATCATTTAACAAATGGAGTTATAGACGAGGAAAAACGAGGACAGAGAATACTTTTAGTTTTTTTTGGTAAAGTCACGGTAAAAAATTCAATGAAAAAACAACTAAATTAAATCACGACGTTTTGGAGGCAACACAAGCCTCCGTCTTCAGGTGGAACCGTCACAGCAAAATTGTGTTGCCTCCGAAACGTCGTGATTTAATTTAGCTGTTTTTTCATTTCATTTTTTACCTACGTGACTTTACCGAAAAAACCAAAGAGTATGAATCCTTGCAGTCACGAAAACTTCAAATCTAGAGGACAGAGAAGACTGATACAAAAGAAGATAGACATAAGCAATAGACAGGAATTGAGAGAGAGGGAGGCTGAGACTATTTTATGTAATGTAAAAATGTATAAAATACTATTTGGCTTTAAATCAGGGTTCTTCGAATTCTGAGATGTAAAGTATTAGGTATAAGGCAGAACAGTAAAAAAATGTTATTGGGTGCACTCTCTGCTTAACTTGAAGGACAATACTTGTTTGCCATTGGCAGGCAAACTCAACAAGGGATGCAGCACATGCAGATGCAGTACCACAGCCCATCTGCATCACAAGGCAGTGCCGGGAGCTTGTCCATGCAGATGCCTGGTGCCGGGGCCTTGCCAGGGCCCGTGCAGAACCTTGGCTCCATGACCCTGACGACGGCAGTGGCACAGCATACTCCGATGTACGCCGGACTCGGGGGACAGCTCAGCATGGCTCACACAGCAGGTCCTGGAGAGGAGCTTCACTTCATGCTGCTGAGGTCAGCATGGTTACATCTGAAGCGCACGTAGGGGGGGATGTTTACACCGACGCAGCCTCGGAAATCTCTTCCTGCGACGGAGTGATCTGCATCTTGTGAGAATAATGATGGCCTTCGTCCAGTGTCCACTGCTGCAACAAATGTGTGACGATGTTTTGTCTTCAGATCCCAGCAGACGGTGGAGTTGCTTACAGAGGAGAACCAGCTGCTGCGTAGTGAGCTGGAGAGCTATTGTGAGAAAGACGTCAAGCTGCAAAAGGTAATGTCGTCGTTTATCAAGGACCCTGAAACAATGCTGGAATCTGTAGCTTTACAACTGCTTGCATCACAGGTGATGCACATCGCTAGCCATGTTGCCGTATACTGCATTACTGCATTTGCATGGCGTGACTTTTAAAACAATATTTTTAGTGAACACTATTTGTAATTGTTATCTTCTTACCTTTAACTCTACAGGAAACCTGTGAAAATATGGGTCTAAATTAACAGTTAAACTGATTGGCATGCATCTCCCTCGTCAGACAACAAGGTTGCGGGTCAAGCTTTACATTTATATGTGGATTGTATTCACGAATCGAGTTGTAACAGGGAACCTTTCCATGAGTTCTTATGTACCAATGTTTAGGTCCTACTTTAAAACCATCACATTAACTTTCAATAGTTCGGTTGGATTGTTTGGGAACAATATTCAATGCATGCGTTGCGAGTATGATCATTAATTTTAACCGGAGTATAATTGCATGCTACATATTTTCAAGCTGTCCGCTTAAGGATTTATGTCCTAATCTTTTCAAAACTTGAATCGCGGTTTCTTTCCAACCTATTCCTGATGGAGACTGCGGTGGTGATAATCGGCCTTCATGTGCAATTGGAAGGATTATTTATGACGTACAGTTTCGTGGGCTAGAACATGTGTTCATGGTTTACGTATTTAAACTGACTTCAGCATCTTCATATGGCACGTGGCGTTGTAGGGTACTGCACATATACATTAAAACTGAATCGCCATTGCTGTAGTTTATCCCTGCATATTCTTTCTGCAGATGAACAACCGAGGTAAATGCGTGGGTGTCATTTGTTGTCTGCCATGATGGTAGTGATTGTTGTGGTAAAGTCTTGTGTTGATGCTTCGATGGGAGGGCCAGAACTCCTGCGCACATGGCACAATGTCCTCTCCGTGGTGACGCATTCGACTAATACATGAGCTCAGAGCTCAGCTATGCAACCACTTTTTTTAGGATTTCTTCCCCACCCCCAGGCAGTGTATAGCAATGGTGCCATTTTCAGAAGACGATTGAGCCCATCTGTATAAATATAAATTAGATATGTTCAAAAGCTATTTTGCTGCATTCTGCATGCACCCAGAATGATTGCATCATATATGCATGCCCTGTTGCTTTTTGACTGCACACACTTAGGTATATATCCCAAGGTTTGCAAAACACACCTGACTTTTTACTGGAGATGTTGCCAAAAAGGAAACTTGTACTGCTTTCCTTACAACCAATGCTCAAGGGGTTTTTGATACGTTTCTATGGAAATCATCTTGACGAGAATTTGTGAATATAATGCAAATTGTAGGACACCAATGGGCATTTTTTTTTATTCACAAACTATATGCAAGTTACGCACTGTATATAATGTGCCCGGAGCATTGCACAATCTTGTCCGATTATGTAATGGCTTTTTCATCTCCCAGGGTCCTAACCAAACCAGTTTTACATGTAGAGGGAACGTTGTTTTCTTGACATTTGAAAGCTAATGTTTTCCTTTTAAGCATATCTCTCGAGAGCTTCTGCCTCTCACCGCATGCAATATAATTGCTTGTACAAAACTACCCATTTCGACTTGTTAAACCATAACATAAAATTTTTTTATGTTGAAGACTGATTTTTGATGTTTTGGCTGAATACTGCTTTTGATGTAATTTTTCACAGTGCAGAAATGTCACATTTGCACAAGAAAGAGCGGCGTTGTCTTATTTGCCTCTGGGATATCTGCGCACCCACGCAGATGGAGCGCGAGGTCCTGCGGATCTCCGAAGCCTACGAGAACCTGGAAAAGTCCACGTCCAAGAGAGAGACCCTGGAGAAAGCGATGAGGACCAAGATGGAATCGGAGATCAGAAGGCTGCACGACTTCAACAGAGACCTGAGGGGTGAGTGGTGCAGGGGGATGGGGGTGTCTGCTGACAATGGCTCGGGACAGGGCTGTATTATTCAATTGGCACAGTAGGCCTGTGAAAACAAATTCTGACCATGTTTTTCTTTTGTTTGTGTGATAAAAAAAATGTAACAAGATATCTTCGTGAATAAAAATATTGCATATCAAGGATAGGTAAACTATATACAAAGAGGCAGAATTTTCACATTCAATTTTCTTATCTGCGGCACGAAGCTAATTAGGGCACAGACTAAATAATGTATCACGAACGACATCTGTCCAGCCGCTAGACGCAGTACGCGTGAAACAAGCGAGTGACAGCGGCGGTAGTAATAACATGGGGCAGCAGCACCAACTGTGGAAAGTTATCACTGAAGGCCTACGAAACAGAAGTGCCTAGGGCCTACAAGAATCTTAATCTGGCCCTTGCTCTGGGCTCCCAACACGATTGCCCGACGTGAGGCGAGGTGAGGCCCAGTACAGTTCCCGAGTTACGCGATTACTTCAATCCACCGCGCCTGTGTCACCCCCCCACGTTGTTATTGTTGCAGATCGTCTTGAGACGTCGAATAAGCAGCTTGCAAGCAGGGAATACGAGAATTCTGAGGACAACAAGCTAACCATTGCCAAGCTCATCGCTCAGAGTACGTGCCTCTTGATCAGTCGGAGAGTGACGTATTTGGTTGCTGGATTGGTTGCTGGAATTAACATTTGAGTCTGTGTTACTTCTGAATGCTTTGCTTTTACAATATCTGAGCCGACATTGTATTGATTGTACAAAAGCAACGCTAAAAAATACTCATTCACATATAGGCATACCTCCTTATAGCGTTCAGGATGCATTCTTGATAAACAGAGCTCCATACGAAGCAGCGCTATAGGAGGTTATTATACATAGAGCTCCAATGGACGTGCGTTACCAATAGCCATTTTTTTCACCTGTGAGCGATATGAGGGCCTCATTTAGGTATCGGTAATAGCCATAATAATGATACTGTACACATGATAAATGTATTAATGCATTTTATACATAAAAATAGTCACTTTTAATCATAATGACATAAAATAAATTACAAGTTATGTACTCACCAGTGCATTCGGTCAGAGGTTACCTAAGATTAACTACCGTCTGCCGTCTGGAATGCTCTTCAGATGTTAGGAAGGCACTGGAGCTATGCACTTTTAAATCTAGATTGAAAACTAACTTTTTTAGAACTTATTTTTGTGGTTAATTTGTCGTCCTTCCCCCACACCTCCGATTACCACAGTTGGCTACATACGGTGTGAAAGAAGTTCAACATACATACATGTTCTGCAGGAAGCTACACTGACCAATGGGATTACTCAATCCATGAATCGCCAATGAATTATTGCAGTGATTAACCCTCGATCAATCGATACCCAAATGTGGCTGTCGGATTGACTATGAGCACAATCGATTCAACAGATACCTCGATTCCCATTCCACAAGACCATATATATGGGCAAAGACATGCCCCCATGGGCAAGGCCATGCCTACTTCCATCTATGGGTTGATCCACACAGGAATTTTCCTCCTGGACAGAGCGGTATAACGAAACTGCGTTATAAGAGGCAGCGCTAAAAGAAGTATATATTCTTGTGTATATATGCTGATGCTTTATTATCTCAAGAAATGTTCACACATATGATGTATGGATACATTATGCTGAAAATCGGCCAGGTGGCTCAACAGTAGAATAAAAATCCTGGTTGGGGGTTGGCTCAGCTCTATCATACCTCCATGTTTATAAAATGTATACCACTTTGTGTGGGGAAGTCAACAGTGTTCTCTGGATAGACTTTCCCCTTCCATAGGAATGTAGAATTTCCAAAACTGGCTTATGGCTGTAAACAGGAGATAATCATTGCTTCAATGCTCTTTTGACCATGAAATCACTGACATTCTTGAACAATTTGGTAATCACAATTTGAGCTCAATGCTTTTAAAGTTTGTTGTTGTTTCGGTAAAGTCACGTCGTGAGAATTATTTTATTTTATTATGTTTTATTTTTATTATTTTATTACTTCCCTTCTACGTGACTTTACCGAAAGAACCAAGAAGATTTGTTGTTGTTGTTTTCTTTCTCATTTGTATAATTATCTCTAAATCAGCGTATCTTTTTTTTTACTTAACTTTCGTGACTGCAGGAATTCATATTCTTTGGTTCTTTCGGTAAAGTCACATAGATAGAAAAATAATAATAAAATGAATTAAAAAAATTCGATCACAACACAAGCGGTCGTCTTCAGGAAAAGGGGGTTCACCTCTAAAGGCAAACTGTTTATAAAGGTTTAAAATGGGCGTAGCCCAAGTGTCATCAGCATGGGCGGGGCAGCTAATGTTAATGTAAGTGATGGTAGTAGTCGGCAACGACGGCGCTGGTGGTGGGTTTCCACCAATTAAAGGGCTGCCAGGTAATCATTGCACCTCGCTTTACACACTCACACTGGTGACGGTGGAGGTTGCTGATCGAGGTGATGGTAGTAGTGGGTAATGATGGTACTGCTAGTGGTGATGGTAGTAGTGGGCTGCGATGGTCCTGGTGGTGGGCTTCCACCAATTAAAGGGCTGCCAGGTCTAAAATGGAAACATTACAGAGAGTTATGACTTGAACTGGTTGATAACATTCTTTCAGTGATTGCTGAGTTTGTACCTATCTTCTCGCTTAAAATTGTGGGTATATATGGATGACGTCATGAACGAATCTTTATATATGCTTGGTTCTTTAGGTAAAGTCACTTAGATAGAAAACAAAAACTAAAAAATAATAATCAAAAAAATTACATAGTAATATATATTAATAATAATTTTACTATAATAAAAGCAAACCCTTATAAAAATAAATGTAGTAAAATTCAATTAAAATTACAATTTAAAATCAAAATTAATTGAAAATAATAAAAGCAAAAAACCCATGACGTTTCGATCGCAACACAAGCGTTCCTCATCAGGCAGAGATAAAAGAGGGGGCAAGCCTCTAAATGTAACTGCTTATAAGGGTTGCAAAGTGAGTGGGCGGGGGACGAGAGATGCGCAAGCAACACGCTAATGCAGGAGCAAAACAATGGGGAGTTGGGAGGAGGTGAGCTTGTGCAGCGCAAACAGCATGGGCGGGGCAGCCAGTCAGCCAGCGCTCATGTAGGGGCAGACAATGGGGGGGAGGAAGGGGGCAGAGACAGGGGGAGAGAGAGAGGGGGGGCAGAGATAGGGGGGAGAGGGGGGTAGAAATCGGGGGGGGGCATTGCACCTCGCTACACACATCCACAATGCTGACGGTAGAGGTTGACAAGAAAACACAAACCAAGTCATGACCCAAAGTGGTTGATGACATCTTTCCAATGATTGCTGTTGTCTCGGTTGAAATTGTGTCTGTCTATATATGGATGGCTTCGTGAACAAATCATTGTTGATAGCCAGTCAGCTTGCAAAGTACCATCGTCTTAGAGAAATACATTTCACATGAGCCAGCCGCATTAAAGTAATGATCAGCCACGGCAGAAGTATTTGTCCTGCCGTGTTTCAGATCGGCCTTATGTTCACGAACACGGTCCGAGACATGTCGTTTAGTTTCCCCAATGTAACTGCTTCCACAGATACAGCTTAGTTTGTAGACGCTGGTATATTGCATGTCAGGAATCTTGTCCTTCACAGATGGGATCAGGTCACGAATTTTATGTCCTGTAAAATTGGACCTGGATTTTGTGTTTGTTCAAGTTTTTGGAAATATTTTTGCTTGTCCCTGCTATGTAAGGCAAGGTGATGGTTTTGATTGGAACTTCAGATGGCTCCTTCCTCACGGTTGGGGTGATGGCTTTGTGGATTGTGTAGTCAGAATATCCATTCGCCTTGAGAGCTTGGTGTATGCGTTTGAGTTCACTAGTCAGGTGTTCATGGTCGGAGATACATTGAGCTCTATGGTGTAGCATTTTGATGAGGGAATTCTTCTGGGATGGATGGTGGTGGGAATCAGGTTTTAGGTAGGCGTCAGTATGGGTTACTTTCCTGGAGACAAAGTGGCTCATTGAGCAATCTGGTCTATTTTTTATTAAGACATCCAAGAAGGGTAGCATTCCATCTTTTTCTACCTCCATGCTGAATTTGATTGCTAGGTGTATGGAATTGATGTGGTTGAGGAATTGTTTCAGAGCCGGTCGGCCATGTGGCCAGATGACAAACGTGTCATCCACGTACCTCTTCCACAAGGACGGGCGTAGAGTGGATGCTTGGATGGCGTCCGTCTCAAATTTTTCCATGAAAATGTTGGCCACAACCGGAAATAAGGGAGAACCCATTGGGGTGCCTTCAGTTTGTTTGCAGAATGTTCCATCCCAAGTGAAGTATGTATTGGTGAGGCAGTGTCTCACCAGGGCTGGTACATCCGCATTCAGTCCTTGTTGGACCAAATCTTCAATTATTGCAATGGTATCGGGCATAGGAACTTTGGTGAACAGAGAAACTACATCGAAACTGACGAGCAAATCACCTGGGGACAGTGAGATGTATTTAATTTACGATACCAGGTGAGCTGAGTTAATGGATGCAAGGTCTCCGACAAATATCGGGCCAGTTTGTAGGTGGGTGAGCCAGTGGTGGAGATGATGGGACGAAGGGGTGTACCTCCTTTATGGATTTTTGGTAAGCCATATAGTCTGGGTGGTCTCGCAGCAGAAGGTTTTAAGGAAAACCGTTTGGTCTGTTCAATTAATGAAGCTGAATCAGTGATGATACTGTTCGTTTTTGTAACGAGGCAGTTGGTGGGATCTCTTTTAATTTTTGTGTAGCTACCATTATTAAGTAGGGCCTGATTTTTGTTATTGTACACTTTTTTGTCCATGATGACCGTGGCATTGCCCTTGTCGGCTGAGAGGATGACGATATCTTCCCTCTTTTTTATTAAAATTACTCAAAGCGCTCCTCCTTACTAAAGTTGCTGACTGGTATCTTAGCGCTTTTGAGGGTTGCAGCGATTTCAGATCTTGTCACGTCTGCAGCGATGTGTCCCAAACCCTGAAGAGCTCCATCGATCTGAGCAATAATGTCATCCACTGGTATGTGTTTGGGGGTGACTGCAAAGTTCAATCCTTTAACCAAAACCAAATTTTGACCATCGGAAATTGGGCTATTACCAGATTGATAACAACCTTGTCAAGGTCTAACTTTTTAATGTGTGGATCTGGTTTCTTCTTGGAAAGGAGGTTGAATTTGTAAATTAGATTTTTTTACATTTAGCTGACATTGTAGCTGCTGATGAAGCGGTCATGTTATCTACATGTTCACAATCAGATGTAGACATTTTTTCTGTCAATGTTAAGTGTGATTTCAAGAGTGTCTTGTCTACATAATCCAGTTCAGTGCGGAACAGTCTAATTCTCTCAGATCAGGGCCAAGCTCGCTCTAAACAAAATTCGTTTGGCATTGGAGGATGTGACAGCAGCAGAGGTACAGTGTGAATGAGGTCGCTGTTACCTTCGAGTCGCGGCATCTCTTCAGAAATGTGAGTGACTCGATCAGATGAGCTTTCTTGTCTCGGAGTTTGTTTAAAGATCTTATGGTTATGTGGAAACCCTCCCCGTAGAGGCGGTTAAATTTAGACTTAAAACTTTCGCGACTGCAGGAATTCA